AGGAGATACAAGGTTGCCTAGTGAATAATAGCTGAAATTGTCCAGACAGGATGCTGTTTTCAATGAGGTATCTTGACTGCATGAGGCCCTGTGGCCTTGTTCTGCCCTCATACACATGACCGATTTCCAGTTTCAGGGGCTCCCAAACAATAATGCTAGAAAACTGGGATAAGATGCATTGCTCAAGCCTGGGAAAACTTCCTGAATATAAGGAAATCAGCCCTGACCAACATTATCAGAGCAGAAGAAACTGGCAGGGGTGTGCATTAGTGTCATGGGCATGTGTGATCCCAGATTCTGGATGCAAAAGCAGACAGCAAAAGATTGTATAAGATTATTGGGGCTGGCCTGATGGCTCAGGGGATTAAAGCACCTGCCTAGGCAGAGCCCAGCAGTTGGGGTTTGATCCCTGGTGTGCCATGCCGGCCCCACCCCCAGGGCACATTGAGAAGGTGACTGAGACTGGGTGCAGTGGCACAAGCCTGTAATCCCAAGGCTTGGGAGGCTGAAAACAGGAGGATACTACGAGTCTGATCTACGTAGTGACCCTGTAGACTGTGTAGACCCTGTACTAAATACATGGGGAAAAAAAAAAAAAGATTGTATAAGATTGTTGATAGTTTAGTGTCTGTCTCCCAAATAACACATTTTACTGTGTACTTTACATCACAGCAATTCTAAAGAGAAGATTTTTAAAATTCCCTGTGCAGTGTGGTGTGGTGGCAGTATTCAGTACACAGCCTCAAATGAATCCCATCTGCAATCTGCAATCTTCTTTTTCTTTCCCATTCCGAAGATTGCTATTGGAGTAACTCTGTAGATGGTACCTAATAAAAACAAAGACTACCTTAGAGTAACTTAGAGCTAACAGACAAAATCTTTTTTCTAATTTAAGAACAAAACTATCATTTTATATTCCTAAGGAATAATTCTAATTGATTAGGCTGTTTTAGTGATAAACCTAAAAGTAAGAGGAAAAGGATTATAAAGCAGTGACCCTATAGCATTTAAGAGCAGACTATCAATTCCAAGCTTAAATTCTATTATTTCTTTCTTACTTCTTTTCCTTACTTTCTCATTAAAATATTATATAACCTAATTTTAACTTTCAGTATTTCCTGAAGGATATGTTAAATATCTTCCCAATATGGTTTTCAATTTATTAATGTGATGAGTTACACTGTTATTCTAATACTAAACCATCCTGAATTTTTATAGCCTTCATGATATGTTTCTTTATTCATATGATTATTTCTAGAGATAACAAGTTTCTTTAATACTTATTTTGCAGCTTACTTTTTTGCTGATATAAGGGAAATAAATCATTACCTTCTTGGAACCCCTGTTTGCATCTCTTAGATTATCAAGAGATAATGTAAGGAAAGATTTTCTACTACCCTCAAGGTTCCATAATTGAGTCTACAAAATACACTGAAAACAGAGAAATTAAATGTTTCACATTCGTGAGGGTATAATATGAAAGTGAAAAGCACAAAAACCAGGGAGACACTTATATAGATGTTCAGATTTCTATTTCCATATTCTAAGCTGTGTTTCTAGAAAAATAGAGATTTTTTTTTTTTTAAGAATAGACATTTTATTTTGTTGATACAGGAACAGCTATGGAATGGCAAAAGATGGGTAAAGGATGGCAGTTTATTTTTTTATTTTTATTTATTTATTTATTTATTTATGGTAGCCGGGATTGAACTTGAGACCTTGCACTTGCCAGGCAGATGCTTAAGTCACTGAGCCATCTCCCCAACCCAAGGATGGAAGTTTAAATTACAGTACAATCTTAGAGTTAGACTATTTGTGTGAAAAGCATGGAAAGTGAAGTGAAATTCCCTCTGTTCAAACTTTGGTTAACTCTATCACTGGAAAATCTCACTCTGGTAATTAGAGTAGCCTGAGGCAGAGGAAACTGACATCACTGATGATCCTGTCCTCAAACTCCTCCCTGCCTCTCAGGGCATTATCGGTCTCTCCCTCCAATGAGAAGACTAACCACACTGGAGGGTCTCCTCGATCTCCTTGTAATGCTCAGACCAGTAGAACAGTCTCCTTGCCCTGAAGTGACTCAAGAGTCCCATCAGACACTGGTGCCCCAGGGGGATCTGGTATTCCCCAGCCCCCTCATCATCCCCAGATAACTTTATTTTTTTTTATTATTATTTTTTTTAAGTAGCAAGTTCATTTTATTTATATCCTTTTTTTATACTTCTGACAGATGGTTAAGAAGGTATACATATTAACTGGCCACAAACTTTTCTTCTAGAACATATAATCTGAGTCACTCCAGATGACTCTGATCTCAAGCTAGTAGGATGTTAAGGCAAAATGAAGACTGAAAACCACAATGTAAATCCTTATTCAGCCATTATTTTTAAAAGAACTTCTGGTCTGGGTCTGATTTGGGTTGATTGTGCAGATACTTTTAAAATCCACATTCTGATTCTAACCAGGGATGTCTTCAGTTTTCCATTCAAGAAGTAATTTTATTCTTTCCTTTTTTTCCTCACTAAGCTCTCTACAGATTGGGTTGTATCTTTCTGCTTCTGAGGCTGCCATCCGTTATCAGGATTTATGGTTGCTGACAACTTGCTTTAATAATTCACAAAGAGTAAAACTCATTTTGTGCTCTCCCTTTCTTCAGTCAAATTATTGATGCAGACAGATGGAAAACATGCTTCTTTGTCAGTGAAATAAATCTAGAGGATTCAGAGATAACTTTAAGTCCTGCAGAATGTACTCAAAGTGGAGCTTCCTACTCTTCTAGCTCACAACTCATCCTCCCCTGAGAAGTCAAAAGGAATCACTGGAATCCAGGTCCCCTTTTCAGTGTCACATTTACCACCATGACTAGGCTGACTTCACAGGTATTAGGGATGTGCAAATGGTGTCCAGCTTTGATCCTTGCTTTTGAACTATCATGGTGAGATTTCCAGTTCATCTTGATCACTTGTTGCAACTCAGATGAAAGCCAGAATCCTAGAGGACAGAAACTATGGAGGTGAGCAATATATTACAAGAAGGGAAGAAGATCCCCAGAGAGGTTGTTATGCCTCTGACTGAACTAAATGGGGACTGTATTAGCAGTGGACAAAGAATAGTGACAGTGGCTTTTATCATGGGAATGAAAAGAGGCGTTAAGAAATCTGCTAATTATGATAAAGTGAAAGTGGTCAAACAGGACAAAACAAACTCTTGGACTGTCTTCCATTAGTCACTTGGAAGAAGTTTTTCATACATGTAATACATAAACTAGGGTCCATCCTCCAGCAAGGGACAGGTATGGATGAAACATCATTTTACTTGGTAATCAGCCTAGGTACTTGGCATAAATTATGAAAACTTCAGATAGAGTCCCAGATGCCTCCAATCCAATTGCCGGACATGGCCATTTCTGTGTTCAACTATGAAGATCCAGATGAGACTGAGAAAAAGGTCAAAATTGTAGCTGTCACAATTGGCAAAGCTTCATATGGCTCCAAGTGGTTTAAAGGAAAATCCATGGAAGATCCAGGAAAGAGTTCCTCCTTTAAGTGTAAAAACACTGTGGATGTTGGATGTGCAACTGCCCCAGGCCATCACCCAGTCACTGTTACGTGTGTCAGGTGGCCAGTGCCTACCTCATGTCACTGAAGCACTACCTGTTCCCAGTCCCAGACAGTGTAGGCCAGCCCCCACTGTCATCTACTCTGACAAGGACTGAAGATGCGCAGGGAGGCTTACACTTCCCCTGTCTGTGGATCTCTTCTTCTCCTGTGAGAAACCCTGGATGACCTTGGATGCCATGGATGAGCCCTGTAGTTACTGGTAGATACTGGGGCAGCTCCTTCTGTTCTAACCTCCTCTCCCAAGCCTTCCTCCATACCTGTAGCTATAATGGGAGTTGAGAGCATCCTGAGTCAGAGTATCTTCATTCTTGCTTGTCAGCTCAATTTGAAGGGCAAATATTTACCCATGAATTTTTGATTGAACCACAATGTTCTACCCCTTTGCTATGAAGAGATTTACTTGCAAAATTGGGGCAGTTCTCAAAACCCACCAAAGGCCAAAGCACATTTTACCTGCTGGGAATGCATCCAACCTCCCTTGCCTGATTAACCAACAGATAGATGAATGCTGCAGTTTGGTGTAATAGAGTACCTGTTAGAAACCCTGGATGACCTTGGGCCAATACAGCAAGACCAGTGGTTAAGAACTAAAGACCCCAACCAATTTCTTAATTAAAGATAGTATCCAGTAAAAGAAGAGGTCCATAAAGGCCTCTAGCCTCTCATAGACAGTTTTCTAAAACATGGCTTTCCTCAATAACTCATTTTCTCCTTAGTAAAAGCTTCAGAATATAGAATGATACTGACCTTCACCTCATTAATGAGGCTGTAATTCTAATCCACTGCCCAAAAGCAAATCCATATAAAGTTCTGTCTTAGTTACTCTTTTCTCATTGCTGGAATAAATACCCAACATGCAAAATGAGAAAAAGAAAGGTTTATTTATCTCACAGTTACTGGAGGTTTCATAGTTTAAAACAGCCTGAATTATGTAGCAAGACCTCAGAGCCTTATTTGCTCAGGAGAAAGGGTCAGTGCTTCTGTCTTGTCCAAACATCTCCTCCCTGTAGGAGGTGGTCTCAATTGCAGAAACTGCTGCCCTACTCTGCAGGGTCTTGAGGAGAGGCTGGGCCACCACCATGTCCAGGATGACCCTCTCCACACCTCCGAGAGACCACTGGGGGATGTGGTTTGCACTGTCAGCTTAAGGGTTGGCACTGCCTCTCTGGCCCCGTCCCTTGAGCCCTGCCCTGGTCCCCTGGCCCAACATCTCTAGCCACTCAGTGCTCCTCCACTGGGGTCTGCCCCATGACTTACATGAGGCTTTGGGAGAACAGCTAGACCCAAAACATAACAAGTTCTTTCCCAGATTGCAGAAGACACAAATTGGTTTTCAGTGCTAGACCTTTAAAATGCTGTCTTTCTGTTCCATTCCACCAGGATTCCCAGTTTCTGTTTGCTTTTGAATGAGAAAAATCTCATTTTGGCAACATGGCTGACACAACTGCATACCACCCATCAACTGAAGAGACCTGTTAACCATGGTGCAGAGCAACAGCTCCAAGCTTAACTCAAGATCCAGCCACTCTTTACATCCAGAACCAAGCCTCTGACACAAGAACACACTGAACCTGAAACTGGATGCCAATCTTCTGACACAAGAACGTGCCAAACCTGTCACCCTGATGTCAAGCTTCTACCTGAGAACAAGGTGAACCACCTGGAGAAACTATTGAAGAAGAAATAAAAACAGCAGCAGTTGATTTTGGGCTACTGCACCCTTGCTCCTACAGTGGTCCATTCTGCTTGGAGGACCTATCTTCTCTTTTTCCTTCAAAATATGATAGTGTTTCTTTTTTTATTTCCTTTCCTTTTATTCCTATTCCTAGATAAAAATAAATAGTAATCTTTCACATTCACCAATCATCCTGGTTGATTCACTGAATGGGACAGTAAGACCCTGGAAAACACTGTTGGTATATATTTCATCTGATAACACTACTACATTGCTGAATTTTTTTATTTATTCTAGGAGTCTTTTGATAGAATTCCTTGGCACTTCTATATAAAGAATCACATCATCAGTAAATAAGGATTGCTTTTACTTCTTCCTTTCCCATATATATCCCTTCTATTTTTCTCTTTTGTCTGCCTATTTGGCAAGAGTAGGAAGTTTCAAATCTGTATGAACAGCAGTAGTGATAATAGATATCCAATGTACCTGAAGAAAGAGCATTGAAAAACAAAATTACAGTTTCTGTCCTATAGTAATCACAGATATTCAGTGCTATCTAAGCCAAAGAGACAATGCTGTTGCTTTTTTTTTTTTTTTTTTTGCGGAACCGGGGATTGAACTCAGAGCCTCGCGCTTGCCAGGGAAGCGCTTATTCCACTGAGCCATCTCCCCGGCCCTACAATGCTGTTTTTTAAAACTCCTTAGGAGGAGGCAGAAACAAAGGAGAATGTTCATAAACATTGAGAAAAGGCCGCAGAGTACCAGAGAAAGAAGCCTTGGGGAAGGTGAAGATGTGGGAGCCAGAGGTCATGCTGTAAAAGGACACAGCTCCAGCCTCATGGTCCAGAGCAACCCCCACCACCCGAGGTCGCTCACGCAGCTCAAGGGCAGTGGGGGGAGAGGTCAGGGCTACATAGCCGTTCTCTGTGCACAGCCTGATGGCCCAGAACCCACTCTCGGGCTCCTGCTTCATGTCAAAGCCTCTCTGCACATTTTCCATACAGACTCCCACATCCCAAGCTGTTCCTTCTCCAACATCCACTTCGAAGTAGTGTCTTCCTGAACTAAAGCGCTCACAGCCCAGGACACAGGGGAGGATGGCAAATCTCCTGAACAAAGCTTTGAGAAATGGCTGGCTGCATTGATAGGACACCTGTCTGCGGTCCTCAGACAGAGTTAGGGCAAGATGAGCTGTATCTGGATCCAGAGTCACACTGACTGTAATATAAAGAAAAATACATACTTTGCATGATGGTAATAACACAATGAATTTTTAATCAAACCAGGCTGTGTTGAACCCCATTCTTGTCCCTAAGTAGCTATGTAAGCCTATAGTACGAATCAACACATCTGGTACAGTGACTCCTGGGGAGAACCCAGAGAGCTGAGGTTTGCCTGTCACTTAGCTAAATTCCCAGGATTTCCAAGGAAGCCAATAGGGGATAATAACACTGTCCAAAAGCAATCTTTGCTTACTAGAGATACCTAGGGCTAGAAGTGACCAGATGGTTGCTGTTAGTCCAAATCCTAGCTCTTTCTTGTAGGTTCCCAGAGATAATAAAGTGGTAGATTGAAATTTGGCTTTTCCATTCTCAATTTCATAACAACAAATGCATTCAAGAAGAAATCCACAGAAGGATGGAATAACAATCATAACTACAGATGTGCTGGACGCTCATGCACCTAACTTCATTAAACCAGCACAACTAACCATAAAAGATCAGATGAGCATCAACACAGCTATGGTGCGGGATGTTGATGCGCCACTGTCACAGACAGACAGATCAATTGGGCCAAAAGATCTGTACATAGAAATATCAGAGCCGCACCACACCTACAAACAAATGGTCTTAATGGGTATCTAGTTTCTCTTGGATTCAGCAACAGAACGTCCAGTGTTCCCTATAGCACATGGAACTTTCTGAAGCACAGACCAAATGTGAGCCCATGAATCAGACTTCAATCCATCCAATGAGCCCGTGTGCACTAACAGATTAGAGGGCAATGCAACTGGAAATGGATGGCAAAAGAACCCTCTGCCATTCTATAAGAGTGTAAACAATACCCTTGAATAATCCGTGCTCACAGAACAAATGAGTGAAAAATTTAGACAGTCCCTACAATCAACTCTAATGCCACTATAGCATACCAGAACTTATTGAATATAATGAAAGTGATCACAACAGAGAAATTTATAGCTCTGAATACCCACATCAGAAAAACATAAAGAATCCAAAGAAATAACCTAATATGCACCTCAGTGTTTCAAAAATATGACTGTTTTGAATGTTAGCCTCAGTTTTATGTCTGCTCTGATTTTATAATCTCATTCTTTAACTTTGGTCTTATATTTATTTTCTTTTTGTTTTCCAGTGTAAAAGTGAATTCTTGGTGATGACTGTGGTCTTAGAAAATAAAACTCATAACCTTCAAAGAAAATATGTCTAACCTAAATTTGAAAGTACTCTAAAAAAAAAAAAAAAAAAGAAAGAAAGAAAGAAAAAAGAAAAGAAAAGGAAAAAAGAGAAGTAAGAAAAAGAAAAATGGCAGTCACATACCAGAAGAAGATACTGGCTGTAGTAATCACCCAGAAGCCATTAAAGAAAGAAGCAATAAAATGTGTGAACTACAGTGATCATCTTTAAATAACAAAAGATTGAATAGCTAATAGTCATAACAAGACAAGAACACAAGAAATGAAACAAAGAAATCATCATACTCAGTAGTAAAACTGGAAAACCTGAAAGTATGTACATAATTAGGGACCACTTCAAATTCAATATATAGGAAAACATTGCAGGTTGTAGACATGAAAGAGGACCGAGAGGTACCAGGTCGCTTTCCCTGGACCTTGGCACATTGTAACGTGGATTCCAAAGGTCAGCACTTTAAAAGTGCTGTTCTATATCTCCCATGGTGTCCCTGCAAGGACTATGGGACAATCCTGTCACCAAAAGCATTAATATTTCTG